CTCACAGAGATCTGCCTGCCTCTGCCTCCCAAGTGCTGGGATTAAAGGTGGCGCCACCATGCCTGGCCATTTTTATTTTGTAAAGAGATATTTATTTTTGAAATTATGTGCGTGCTTGTATGTGTAGGTTTGTGTGTGTGAGCTCAAGTATCTGCAGAGGCAGAAGAGGGTGTCAGATCCCCTAATGCCAGAGTTGCAGGCAGTTGTGAATTGCCCAAGGTGGGTGCTGAGAATGGAATTCAGGTCCTCCACAGGAGCAGATGTGCTATTACTCCCTGAGCCATCTCTCCGGCCTCCCCTCGTTTTTTGGTCCTACTATATAACTCAAGCTAGGCTATGATTTACTATATAACCCACGCTGGCCTCAAACTTGCCATCCTCCTGACTCCTGCCCCAGGGGTAGCACTGCCCACAGTGGGCTGGGCCCTCCCCACATCACTCAACAATCCAGAAAATACAACACAGACATGGACACAGATCAAACCAATGGAGGCAATTGCTCAGTGGAGGTTCCCTCTACCCAGGTGTGTCAGGTTGACAACTGAAGTGATCCAGCACACGGTAATGGCAGTAACTACAGCATCAGAGAGATGAACTTCCAACAAAGTCATGCTACTCTCAATGAAAAACTGTTGATGAAAATGAAGAAACAGGGCCAGGCGTGGCGGCGCATACCTTTAATCCCAGCACTCAGGAGGCAGAGGCAGGTGAATCTCTGTGAGTTCGAGGTCAGCCTTATCTCCATAGCAAATCCAGGCCAGCTGCAGCTACAGGAAGACCCTGTCTTAAAACAAACAAACAAAACAAACAAAAAACCAAAACAGAAACGGGCCAGGTATGGTGGCGCACACCTTTAGTTGTAGCACTTGGGAGGCAGAGGCAGGAGGATCTCTGGGAATTCAAGGCCTACTTGGTCCTACATGGCGAGTTCCAGGCCAGCTGGAACAAAGTGAGACCCTGTATAAAATAACAAAACAAAAACAAGGAAAGCAGAAATAAATGAAAATGAAGAAACAATGTGGTACAATCTCGTAATCCCAGCACTCAGGAAGCAGAGGCAGGAGGATCATAAGTTTGAAGTCAGTCTGGCTTATACATAAACCCTGTGTTAGAAAGAAAAAGAAAGAAAAGAAAGGAAGAAGCTGCTTAATAAAATCTACTAAAATTCAGTAGAAAAAGAAAGATGGTGATGTTTGAAGGACTATTCCACATACCTCCTCTGCCAGTTTAGCAAGCTGAGGGCTCCATTCTAGAGTACTAAACCCTAGACAAGTTACCTCTCTGTTCCAGATTCTAGGGGGAGTACTTTCTTCCCAGCAGGGTCAGGACCATGACATTTTTCATCTGCCTTTATCTCCCTGTTGCTAGGCTGCACCCTGGGTTGGTTGGGGCCCTCCCTCAGCTGCTTAGCTCCCACTCACTGAGTAGAGGCTCTGGTTTGACTATAACATGTGGAGAACCCTGGAGTCCTGGCCATCCTTGTGCCCTGGTCCTGAGACAGTACTTCTGCACCAGGAGAGGCCTCTGAGGCCTCAGGCTGCTGCCTCACTTCCACAGAGTGTGCAACCTCAAGCACAGGGGTCTCTGAGAGCAGTCTGCCATGGACCAGGTATCCAACCCAGAGCCCTGGCTTCGAGATTTTGGTGGCTGGGAGCAGGAGGAGGAACAGACCATGAACTCAAGGCCTAAAGAAGCTTCTTTGGGGGAAAGAGACCATTGAGCCCAAGCTTAATGGCACTCTCAAGAGTGGTGGAAGTTGTGCTATAAGGCACCTGGGGGTGGGGTGGGGGTTGGAGAGGTGGTTCAGTGGTTAAGAGCACTGACTGTTCTTGCAGAGGTTTGTTGCTCAGCACCCACATGGTGGCTAACAACCATCCATTAACTCCAGTTCCAGTGTATTCCTTGTCCTCTTCTGGCCTCCAAGGGTATTGCATGCTTTTGGTGCACTAAAATACTTAAAGAGGCCAGACACACACACACACACAAAATAAAAATAAATAAACCAAAAAAAAAAAATCTAAAGGCATCTGGAAAAAATCAAGATTAATAAAATGGTATATCCTGCAATTCTCAGGTAGATATGGGAAGAAGACAGCTGGGAAGTGCCCACCAGAAGGTCAGAGAAACATGAACCACTGCATTCAGAAACTGTCCCTTCAAAGGTCTGTAAATCAATTTACAACCCAGGATAGACAGTAGCCAACAAATAGTGATGTTTAACCACTGAGCCAGCTCATGGAGAGACAGAACTCCCTACAATGTTATTGGCTGTGCCAAAACTGTGTACTGACTGAGAAACACCAGGAGGAATTAGGGGAGAGAGGATAACTAATAAAATAATCCAGCCAGTTGTTAAACAAGCAAGCAAACACAGTAAACCTCAGAGAGAGGGACTCTGGGTGCCACAGTTACAACTGTATCTAAAGTGTCTGGTTTCCAGTAAAAAATTATGAGGCATGTGAATAGGTAAGAAGGCATGATGTATACACTGGGGAAAAGCCCCCAACAGAAACTGAAAACAGAGACAAGATGGATCAGAAGACAAGCGTTGTTATGAATATATGCATGCAACTAAAGGAAACCGCAGGGAGTGTAGAGGATTACTATGAACCACCACATACCAACACATTAGATAACTCAGAGGAGATGAACATATTCCTAGAAATACAGAAACTGACTCAGGAGCCACCACCTACCTAGACCAGTAAAAGGTGAAGCAATCGTAGTAGTGACCAGAGACACTGACCACAATGAAAACCAGGTCGTAATGGGCTGACTGCCAAACTCTACCAAATGTCACTCAACATCTCATATTCATAAGCTCTTCCCAAAAAATAGAGGAATGAACACCTCTCCCCCATAAGCCAGTTTTATTCTGGTGCTGAATCCAAAGATGCTGTAAGAAAACAAACCTACAAAATGCTGTCTCTTATGGCTAAGTATGTTAACATTCTCAACAAAAACCAAGTCCAGAAACATAGAAAATGAATTATACAGGGCCAAGCCATCTCTCTAGTCCTCAAAGCCATCTTGAAAAAAACAAACCACTTCCTGATTTCACAACTTATAGGATGGCAGTGTGGTACTGGTGGCACAAAGGCAGACATGCAAGTGGGTGCAGGAGAGTTCCCGAGAGTTGGAAGGAGCCAGTTTAACATGGTTGCTGCCATCTTGAATCTTAATAGCCATGACTGCTCTTGAGCCACCGTAGCTGGCTTTCCTTGCAGAGCTTACAAGCATAATGTGAATTTAAAAACAAACCAGGCTGGGGAGATGGTGCAGCGGTTAAGAACACTGGTTGTTCTTGCAGAAGACCCAGGTTCAAATCCCAGCACCCACATGGCTGCTAACAACTGTCTGTAACTCCAGCTCCAGGGGATCCGACAGCCTCTTCTGTCCTCCACAAGCATTGCACGACATGGGTGCACTTACTTACATGCAGGCATAATACTCATAAAATAAAAAATAATAATAAATAAAATATTTTTTAAAAACCCAAAAAACAAATAAACCATTACAATGGTGTATGAAACTTGGTGGCTGGACCTGGACACTATCAGTGCCGGGAATGTGCCTGGTACCTCCCCTATTAGTTTGAAAAGAGCCAAGTACATTGTTGCTTAGATGAAGTCCTTGTCTTGACCATACACTCCTCTTCTCTTACCAGAGTTGTGGGATCTATCTGGGACCATACTTCTGTTAATAAGACCTCAGTAAGGTTCACTCTGCAATCCTGAATCTATCTACCTCTTTCTTTTGTCATGGCAGCTAGTGGGCAGTTTTTACACACTGGTACTAGAATTCTTCTGGAAAAAATTGGCAAGCCAGCCAGAAGACTGAGGAACTGTGCGAGGAAACAGAGGCTTGGGTAGGGGACACCCCAGTCACACATTTGATTTTGTGTGGGAAGGGGTGCCCTGTCCGGTAGATGCTTGTGACCTTTCTCACAAGTACATGTATACTTGAAGTCACTGCTGGGTTTGGAGTAGCTGTTTGCTGAATGCTGCTTTTCCCACTGCTACAGTAGTAGGTGGCTGTTGCTGTGGGTGTTTGGATGCCACCAATGCCCAGATGACTGAGGAAAAAAAGAGCCAGAAAATCAAAAAACTTACTACTTAAAAGTGTGCAACTCTCTCTTGCTCACTCTTATAGCTTCTCACCTGGCTGAGGAAGTGAAATGCTGGGACCCCAAACAGGAACTTTGGGGCTTTGTGTAGCAAGAGGTAAAGAACTGGGAGCCTGGAGAGAGGGGTTAGCATTAAAAGCATTGTTTGCTCTTGCAGAGGACCCAGGTTTGGGTCCCAGCACCCACATGGTGGCTACTACCCATCCTTAGTTCCAGTTCCTGGTGATCCACTGCCATCTTCTGGCCTCCATGGGCATTGCATGACACGGGTGCACTTACATACATGCAGGCAATACACTCATACACATAAGATAAAAATAGAAAATAAAAAGAGGTAAAGAACTGGGAGAGGAAACAGGTGCATCCACCACCACATCATCACAGTGGGATGCCAACCTGAACCCCAGGAGTAGGGAAGTGGGCCCCACCCTCACCCTGAGTCTTGCGTTTCTGTACCTATCACACACACACACACACACACACACACAAACACACACACACACGAGTACAGAATGTGCCGATGGAGACAGAAACCTGACTGTTCAGAACAGCACTGCAGCAGAATTCCTAGACACAGCAGAAACTTATTTGTGTGTCCCTAACAGCCTCACCTGCCTGAATGGGG